GGGGGGGGGGGGGGGGGGGGGGGGGGGGGGGGGGGGGGGGGGGGGGGGGAGGGTTGTTTTAGCAGGCATGCGGGCGGGCGGCCGGGCGAATACTACTGTTGTTCTCGAACAAGCAGCGCGACCGCTACGCCCCAGCAAACAGCGTCGCTGCCCTCGAATGTGCGCGTGCTTGCGGGGTTGGTTGCGTTGTTGTTCGGGCGGTGGTCATGGTGGTGATTTGCTGATGATGGTGCTCATGGCCAAAGCGAAAGCACTGGTTGATAACGAACCACGCTTCGCTTGCTCGTTGTTTTTGTTTCCAAGCATGCATGTTGTGCTTTTACCCCTCTTTTTGCATGTGTGTTTCGTTTTTTAGATTATTTTATGGTAGTCTAAGTCTTCAAGAGTGCATGGTACATGATACGAGCTTTTGCTAGTAGTATGCAGACACAGGAAGGACCCCACCCGCCGGAGACAATTTTTCCTCAAGGGCATGTACGTATGTATGTGTTCCTTGGCAGTTGAGATTCACCGCGACTTTCTTTCGTCGTGGTAAAGTGGAACGTGCTCATGTGTCCCGTAAAACTTTCTGACAGAATAACTCCACAGCGACACTTCATGTCGTCGTATAAGTAGCGCGCGCACATGTGTTGTAAGTCTTGCTGACAGAAGAGATTCACAGCGAAACTTTCGTCGCATCTTCTTGCTGGCACAACACGTACACGGCTGGAGGGTGCACACCGTCGCGGGGTGACCCCATGTCCTTACTTTCACTCCCTCCACCAACGGTTTCTTGCTTATACTAAGTCGTCAGCAGTGATGATGATGATGATGATGATGGATGTTGGTACGCGGGGGGCAACGTATGCCACATGCAGCAAGCCAGCCATCGTCAGCTAAGAAGGTGCCACGCATGTTTCACAACGTGCATGAACTGGGCCGACTGCACCTGACACAGAGAGACAAACCGCAGAAAACGGTGCGTCGCTGTCGTGTGCACATACATGGTAGTATCTAGACTAGGCCCTCCGGTGGACTAGACAAAAGCAAGTGACCCTTTTCCCACCACACCTCCTGCAACGTGCAAGTCTGCTGTTGCGATAAGTGAGGTTCCCAGATGATCTGGTCCCGTTGCTCGGGTGTTGAACTCACAAAACAGGATATTCTCTTCGTTAGTATGTACAGACGCAAATTCCCACCATTTTTTTCATGCGCTCTTCTAAGCGCGAAACCCTGCCCCGAAACAAAATGAAACCTTGTCGCAAAGCCGCGCGGGTCTTGACGCTCAGTGACGAATCCAAACCAGACACACACTAATGCCCATGGACACAACATGACGAGACTGAAGAGGTCTTCTCACGTTGCTTGGTGAGCCGTTTGGACTTGGAGCTCGGCCGATGCGAACTAAAATAAGGAAACACATTCAAAGAACTTCAAGGGCGACACATCATGCCAAACAAACAAGGCCTTTGCAGCTCGCCAAGCCTTTCAAACACCGAAAATTAGGTGGGCTACCAGCAGCTCCCGCTCAACCCCCCCCCCCCCCCCCCCCCCCCCCCCCCCCCCCCCCCCCCCCCCCCCCCCCCCCCCCCCCCCCCCCCCCCCCCCCCCNTACCTACGTATCAACTGCTTTACCAGCCCACAAAACTTCCTCTTACCTCCGACACGGGGAAAGTGAGGCTCAAATCCACCTACGTTTATTGCTCGTTCAACGGTTTTTTCGTTCCAACGGGTTTCCATGTTATACCCCCCCCCAGGAAGGATGATGACCAGCCCCTGGTTCGTCCTTGTGGAACGCGTACTGGGCCGGCGAAAACTCGGCATATCGCTCCGTCCCGACCATCTTGGGGGTGCGAGGTCAACGGCCAAACGACTACGGCATGCGTTTACGACCATTAGTACCGCCCCCGCCCGGCCCACCACGACCACCCGCCCCAGCAGGCTGACAGCACGAAGCCAGACACATGCTCCGTCTCGAGTTTGAAGGGAATGCAAGGGGCCTGTATGCAGTGCCTGTGGATGGACAGACGACAAAGAGAGGCCATTCAGAAACATCGACTTACCCCTCCCTCGTCTCCTCCTCCTAGAGGAAACTGCCACCCATCACATACGCATCCTCATGTACCTCGAAACAAGAAAACAAACAACAACCCCAATCCACCACTACTCGACTCTCTATCGCGTGCCCCCCCCCCCCCCCCCCCCCCCCCCCCCCCCCCCCCCCCCCCCCCCCCCCCCCCCCCCCCCCNGAAAGGAGAAAGCTACCAAATCATCCACACTAAAACTCCTTCAGCACCTCTGTGCATCTCTCCCAGTCGAGTGTTCCCTGCCAAGATACAAAGCTTGAGCTGGATGGACAAAAGAAAAATGGTACTTGCGAGTTGCTTTACGAGCGAGCACAGGCGAAGAGCAGGGGGGTTAGGTCAACCGGGGGGGGGGGCAGAGACTGTACATATCTCAACCTCAAACGATAGCATCATTGCCACCTGAACAAGACACGCGAAATCCTCCTCCTGCGGTACGGTGCACAGAGTGCGACAACATCCCGCTGGAGCCCGCACCTACCCAACTCCATCTCCGTGTGTTGTACGCCCCACTCCTCCCCCTTCCTCTTATCCTGTCAGCACCGTCGCCGCCTCGGAAACAGCGAACTCTCTTGTCTCTGTCTGTCTGTCTCCCTCTCTCTTGTGCACGTGTGTCGACAAATATGCTGTCGGCATCATAGCACCTCGGAATAACAACATCGGCTCTAAATAAGGCTTCCACACACACTGGCCGCTGCTGCTGTGCACGCCCAACTCATGCGGCACGAAGAGTTGACGTCCTTCCTTTCACATCCTGTCGTCTTGACTTGGTAACTGCCGCTGACTCACTTCCAACCTCCGAGCAATCGATCGAGCTAGCCAGGGGACCACAAACACCGACGCGTCTCCATCTCCGTTGTACAATGTTGACATGCACACAGCAGCATTGACACTTCTTTCTGTAAACACAGCAAACATCCACCACACTCCAGTGCTTCACTAGCCTTCTTCCTGTGTGACCCTGGCTGGAGCCTCTCAAAACACATTCCTGAAAGGCGTAAAAACCGGAAAAAAGAAAAAAAAGCCTGGTACACAACCCTACCCATTGCTGTTACGTCTTTGGCTGCTTTACGATCCAGGTCTTGACGTCCTTCTTGAGCTTGTCCAGAATGAGTTGCTCCGACATCTCCTTGACGATAGTCTTGGGGCCCATGTTTGCACGGACTACCCTCACGCGTGGGTACGGCCTGTCCTCCTGAAAAAAAAAAAATGTTCGAAAGGAGAACAAAGGAAAGTGGGGGCAAGATCCTCCTTAAAACAGCAACAAAACGAAAAGGGTACAGTACAAAAACGCTCCCAAGAACAGACCAATAAAAGGGCGCAAAAATTGCGCAACAGGGGCGGGCCGAAAACGAGCGCAAAAAATCCTTGCGCCGTTCTCTAACCGTTGTCTCGTAACATGAAGCCTGATTTGGGTAGGTACCGTAGGCTGTGGTCACGAAAGACGTCCGTGTCAGTTGTGGGCCAGCACAGGTGTACTGAGCAGAGACCGGAACGGTTCTTAGTGTACAGACAACAGCAGCAGCAGCAGCAGCAGCAGCAGCAGCAGCAGCAACAGCAACAGCAACAGCAACAGTGTGTCCAGGTACGACGGAAATGATTCGATTGCGCAGCCGACTTCAGCACAGCACAAAAGGCCAGTGCCCCTTCGAAAAATGCGTCGCACACACACACGCACACGATGTGTTCAAACGTCATGGGCTACTGATCGACCAACTTCCACCCGGGCCAATCGGTTGGGATCTCTGCGACAACGATAGTAATGAGGGTAATTCTTTTGGGAGTGACGGAGACGAAGGAAAGGGAAAGGGAAGAAAGGAGGACGAAGACGACGATGGAGGGGTAAAACATGGAGGAGTGGAAGAGAGCGAAGGGTTTGAGCCAGATGACCTTCCCCAAAACAAAAACGTAGGGCAAGGGAAGAACTGCCCAGAGATTCTTGTCAAAATGAGGATCAGAATGATGGTAGCGAAAACAAGGAGGATAATAGTGAAAGTACTCCTAAACGAACTCGAGCACAAGGTAATAGCGTTGGAAGACGCATGCAGTTTTCTTCTGTTGCTGCTGTTTCTGTCTTTGATCCGGAGGATAGTGTAGCCTCCCCCATGCTGCCCCCTCACGGGGTCCCAGTTCATGGTAGATAGAAGTGTTTTGTGTTTTCAACCGCACTGAGACTGACGTCTTTTCATTGGTCAGCCGGTTAGCGCGGTCGATGCTTAAAATAAAAAAACACACACACATCGTCACACGCGTATGTCATGCTTGCACCGCAGCATGGAAATCGTCATTAATAGTCATATGCTCACCACGATGATGTCCACGCCGCCCTCCTTCTTGAGCAGGTTCCGGGTCTTGCTGGGCGGTCCGCTGGACCCCCTCTTCTTCTCCCTGGCGGCCCTCTGCTCCTCGGCCTCTCGCTCCTCCTTCGCCGAGAGGTACTTGGTCTGGGAAGGGTCGAAGTACAGCCCCGCTCTCCGGGCCTCCTCGTCCACAAACACCTTCACCTGAAAGCAAAAAAAAAGAGGGGGGAGGGGGGACGTGCTCTCATGTTTTGCATGCCCTGCTAGTTGTAAGATTGCCCTGCTAATTGTAAGATTGTTCACCACACGCCCTCCAGAGGACGGAGCATTGTTCCCATACCTGTGGACGGGGGGGCGCTGCATATACAACACGCAGCACGGAGAGGGGACAAAACCGTGCACGCCAGCAAAACACTAAATTGCGCGTGGCTGGCGGCTGCTTCATCGGACAGCGCGGTCGATGCTATTCAACAAGGACACAAACGTAAAACACACGGCCCGGGGTAAGGGTCACCGATGCACGCTAGCAAACACACACCACGCACCCGCGTGGTAAGACCAGTGCCCTCTTCGGTCCACAGCTGAGCCCACTCCCTCAAGAACGCCCACGCATGGAACGTTCCGGACCCTTCCGACAGGCCCTCGAACGTCGCCGGTATGGGGATGCGCAGGAGCTCCGGCCCCGTGAGCTTGAGGAACTCGTCCACCCAGCCGCTGGAGGGCACTGGCCAGGAGGTCGGGAAGTCGGACACCGCGAAGGTCGAGTTGCGCCTCGCCTCCGGCTGAAGAAAAAAAAGAACAACAAAAAAAGAAAAAGTTACACGGGGTTGGGCGTGTTGCATCTCACCTTCGGCTGCAAAGAAAAAAACGGAAAAAAAAAAGACAAATACAAGGGAAAATTTGCTACACCAGGTTGGACGTGTTGCCCATCGCCCCGGCTGAAAAGATTCCGAGAAACCTCGTCCGCCAGGTGTCTTCACCATGTCGGTCGCTAGCGTGCCAGCTCAGCGTAGCGTGAGCCCACGCTGAGTCAGAAGTGCTGTGCACAGCCACTCCCATGATACCTCACGGTCTCCCCCACTGCTCCGGAGGAACCGCATGTTTGGTCGAGGGATCAACACCTTCCTGTGGTCACAGATAGCAAACCCTCACCTTTTCCTCGAAAAATTTCCGTTTCCCCCTGGAATACACATACCGGTTCTTCTCTCCCCCCATGTCTTTCAACGGGAGCTGAAGCTGTTACTGCACGAGAAAACTAAGTAAACGCTTGGCACCATTTCGTCACCCAGTGGAGAGGGGGTCACGGTGCGAGTTTTTTTTTTTTCCCATCGTTGGACTGTGTCGTCTGCCCCTCTGGCCCCTATCCTCCACTTCTACCAGCTAGACGATCCAACCGGGGTCACATAGGAGTGCGAGTGTTCTACCGCCATTCCTCCAATTCATCAAAAAGCAACCCGTCCAGGGGGTGTGATATCTTGCGTCATGTCACCCACCTGGTAGGAGGCCCTGAAGATGGTGTTTGCCGCCACGGACCGCGACGCTGCCGGGAGGGTAGACCTGCCGCCGTCCGCCCTCGGCGAGTTCCTCGGGACTATCAGGGGCATCGGGTCGATGGCACCGCGGTCCTCCGCTAACAGCTTGGACACCCTCACCGTGGTGAATGACACCCCCTTCGCCTTCGCGACGCGGATCACCGCCTGCCGGTGGTCGGCAGTAGAGCGAGGGAAGAGTTACTCATGTTGAGCATGCCCTACTTGTTAGACCATTGACCACCCGACCTCGAGACGATGGAGCATTGTTGCGACAGGACCGATCACCGATGGCAGGGGGGTTCGACAGTCGAGGATGCGGGGGGGGAGGGGGGGGGGGCACGGCGCGTGTGCAGAGTGCAGACAGTGAAGCGCTTTTGTTGACTTCGCGCTAGCGAGATAACAACAGCAGCAGGGGACGAACGAACGCTAATTATTTGCTCGAGGATGGTGATCAATATTGATTTTCATCTCTACGTCGTGGGCGGGGCGGCGAGCGAGCGAGAAAGAGTTCAAAAGATGCGTCTGTGCTTCCCTCCCCTTAACAACAACATTTTGTATGAAATAAACAAACACCCGTAAATGGAAGGCCTGTCCGTCACGATCCCTCCAAAAATTACACAACATCTTGTCAAAATAAGGCGTGCAGAAAAGACATGTTCAGAAAGCACAGCAGCAGCAACGGATGAAGGAGCCGAGCTGGTGAACGACGACCATCAAAAAACACAAAAAAGCGGCCGGCAGTCAAAAGGCCGCACGACACGCAGGCCTCGTAAAGACTATTACGAAGACAGCCAAACGTCTGAACAGCAAACAACAGACGGAGAAGACAGACATCACATAACCAGCGGTAGCGCGCGGGTCTTCCACGAAAAACAGAGAGCATCTGCTGCGACGAAAGTGACACCCACAACACTACGTGCCATCAACCAAAACACAAACCACCAACGCACACACCTGCTCCGCCGTGCTCTCTGCCGGGAACCCCTTGTCTTCCGCCCCCCCGCCCCCGCCGCCGAACAACCCACCGCCCCCTCCCCCAGACGATGCACCGCCTACCGAGAGACACACCACGTGCTTCAGACTCTTCCCGCAGGCGTCCAGCAACCCCACCACCTCCTCATCGGACAGCCCCTCCCCTTTCGTAGCATCCTCGGCCCCCCCGCCCCCGAACAACCCGCCGAGCCCACCCCCAACCCCCCCCTTCTTCTTCTTGCTCCCGGGGTCCCCGGGCACAATCACCAGCGTCTTCACCCCCTCGAGCGCGGCCCTAACATCACCATCACCCCCTCCCTCGCCCCCCAAGCCCTTCGCCGCCGACAGCGGCACCCCCGACACGGAGGAAACCCTCGCCGCCCCCTTCTCCCCGACCCCCGCCACCTCCTCCTCGAAGAGCGCGAGCACGGCCGCCCCAAGCGGCCCGTCCTCCCCGTCGCCGGCGCCCACAACGACGACCGCACCGGCGGCCTCGGCGGCGCGGCGGGCGGCGGCGGCGGCGGCGGAGGCGTTTTTCTTGGCCGCCGCCGCCGCCTGGGCGGAGGCCTGCTTTATCACGTCGGCCGGGGAGAGGGTGCGCATCTCCGCCTCCATCTGGTTGCGCTCCTCCAGGGTCACCGTGTCCGGCGACCCTTCCGACGAAGGCGGCGCAACTGGCGGCCGCGTGGGGGGTGGATGGATGCATACATACGTGCAACCGTTCAGGATTTTTCGTCTCGACAAACAACGACGGTTACTCGTGTGAGGAAGGCCAACGGGGGCAGGGAGGAAAGGAGCGGTGCATTTATATCGGCACGACCAACGGCACGAAGCACAACGCGAGTGCTGTTCCACAGAGCGAGAGTGAGCGCGAGTGAAAAGCAGGTTCCTTTCTCCATTCACTATCGTCAATTATTGTCAACACATCCCCGAATGGTACATACCCATTCTGCGATTGTTCATGTTTTCTAAAGTGAACATATGGTCGTCGTGATACAGAACGACGAGACGATGGTTGTGTATTCCGAACAACCCCGCCACCCTGTCCCTCTGCGCCCTGATCTAAACTGCGACACATGATACCGCCCCCGCCCCCCCTTTGTACACGTACCCCCCAACTCCTCATAAAAGGCGGCTTCGTCCTCAGCAAGGTAGGCGAACTCAGCGGCGACTGATGCCGGAAAGGCGGTCTGGTCCGTTAGGGGCCCCGTGAATTGCGTAAAGTTGCTCTTGCCCCGGGCTATGATGTTGGCGACCTTGATGTCCATCACGCGGGCCTCTTTGTCGAACTCCTCCATCATCCTCTTCTTTATCTGCAAAACAGCGAGATGGTGACGACGATCACCAATCAGACGACGACCTCGCTACGTCGAAGGCGACGGAAAAACTGCCATCAAGAGTTGTCAACTGGGTATCGACTCACTCCTGTGACCTGCGAGCAAATGTGAATGGAAGGAATTGCCCTCCACGGACGTTGCGGAGATGGGGGTATTCGTAACCCCCCCCCCCCCCCCCCCCCCCCCCCCCCCCCCCCCCCCCCCCNCGTATGTAGAGTACTACACTTTTCAGTGTATTTTTTCGTACAGCTACATCCATCCAGGGTCACACAGGAGGGGGTTAACACCAGGGCTTTTTTCTTCTTTTTTTTTTTTCTTTCTTTTCATGTCCCACCTTCCCCTTCGGTGAGTGCTGAATTTTACTTTTATCGCGAGAAGGGTCCAGCGGTCCCATTCCTCGTCAACGGTGCTAACGTCGAAGTTTGGTACTCACGAGAACCTGTCAGCAATACTTCGCTTTCACCCGCACATTTCGTAAACTTTTCACCCCATGGGGATTCGAACTCACGACCTCTGCGACTAGCGGATTACGAGGATACCACTAGACCACCGGGGCGACCGGTGTTTAGGGAGGGTCGGAACCCGTACGGCTGGCGGAGAGTCGAGTCACTTCTCCACAATCTTCTGTGCGTGATTCCACGGGTGTGCCACGTCCGACCCATCATCACAACGTCCAGAACTTGAAACACCCGTTCATTTTTGTGGTCCTTCGCGATTTTGATCTTGATTATATCGTTTGCTGGTGGTGCGTACATTGCAAAATCACCAATAAATCAACGCCGAACGGCAAGCACCGACGACGACTCGACTCACCTCCTTCCATTGACGAAGGTGTCGTCATCCTGCAAAAGGAGCGCGTCTGCGTGTGCCACGTGTACTACAACATCAGCATGGTTGCGGCCATCGTCCATTTCTACGCACGCGCTCAAGAAAAAGACAAGAATCATTAACGCAATGCACATGGATTCATCCATCCTCGACTCTTCCGTTCGCTGTGATTATTATGATCATTTTTTTCTTGTACAAACAAGAACGTACCCTTTCCGCGTCCTTTCTGTAGGCCTCCTTTAGGTCTTCGGCGGTTTCGTCCAGCTTCTCCTTCTCTTCGTCCAGCCACTCTTTGATGTAGGCCTTGTTAACGTTGCTCTGAACGTTCCTGCGGTTGTTTACAAACACGCTTGTTATCTGGTGTTGTTGGTTACGTGATCGTCGCTCGTGTGGGATAGCACCTTGCACACGAAGGACCGCCTTTCGATGTACCCAAGCGCTGCTTCTGCGGCTGCTGCTGCTGCTGCTGCTGCTGCTGCTGCTGCTGCTGCTGCTTTTCACCTCTCACCGGTTCTGGCTCTTGCGAAGGGCCGACTGCAGCTTGTTGGCCAGCCACTCGTCGCCCATCCTGCTCTCGCGCGAACCCCCACAACGCACAAATAAAAACGACGCGGGGGTTTTGGTTGGGGGAGAGGGCGGTCCTGCGGTCGTTGTTTGCCGATAGGGGCATGCTTGGGAATGCGAGGGTTGGGGAGGGGAGTCTTCCGCTATTTGCTCGCAGCTGGCGTTGACAACCTCGTTTGTTTTGTCAAACGGTTCAACTTTCATCGCCTAAAACGCGCGTTGGACTCGCTGCTCTTGACTGTTGACCTTCGGTAAGCTGGTGGTTCGTGCGGCCGTATGTTCTTGTTTCTCCAGGTCTTTTGTAGACTCGCCAGCGCGACCATCGGTCACAAGATTAAGCCTTACCAGTCGAGACAAGCGCAGCTGTTGCTACCAGACGCGTACGAAACATTGCACCGGCGTGGCGTTGCGCAGCAGCAACCCACCACAGGCGGCTCATGATTTCTCTGCATCAAGTTTACGGAAGGCATGGACGACAAGGAGCAGCGGCACCGCCGCACACTTGGTGCGAGCGAGCGAACCAAAAAAGTAAACGCGCCACGCGCAGCGCAGCAAACAGGAGCACCCACAAACCGTGCGGAGTAAGCAAGCAGCAACGTCGGAGGCTTACTCCTTGCTAAGGTCTTCGTACGTCTTCTCCTTCTCCTCCTCCTCGTCCAGATCCATTGGCTCCCAGTCCAACATCCCCGCGTACGCCGTCAGTCTCTCCTGCGTACACACGTGCAAGCACGTGGAGGAGGATTGCGTGCACCACAAGAGACGACTGAGCGCGTGCCATATCAACCCACCTACCAAAACTCTGCGCGCCGCCAATGCGCCCTCGAGACCGATATCGCGATCCGGAAACCGGAGCCGAAAAACGCAGCAGTATTGGACAACACCACCAGCAGCACTACAGGCACGCCCACAACCGGGCACATCACTACACATCCGAACATCGCGACGCCGGTACACGGAAGGTTTAGCACGACATACTGCTGCAACGTTGCTCAAGGCCGAACCATCACAAAGGTCTACGACGCAATCTACCTACAGCACGCCGAATACAAAACTCGTCGCACCCTTGGGTCAAGCTTGGATAGCCCGGGCGGCGCGGGAGGCATTTCCGGCGCTTCCTTTCCCTTGGGCAGGATCTTGTCCCAGTCCGGCTCTTGTCCAGGCTCAGGCTTGATCTTCCCCCAGTTAACGTTATCGTCGTCGTCGCCGCCGCCGCTGCTGCTCTCCTTCCCGCCGTTTTCATCATCCTGTGGTGTTTCGGGTATTGTTGGTCAGGGAAAAGGTTATGCTCTCTTTCGTTCCTTTGTCCCCGACAGCGCCCACCGGCGTCATTTTGAACACCTACACCCGGCGCAAAGAGACCATAGCAATCCACGGAGCCCCCCAACCCTCACTGGGATCAATAAGTTACGGGTTGTGGGCAGACACGACTATAGGATGGTCACACCCAAGTTGTAGCTTTCCTCGCTCGAAGGACTTCAACACAAACAAGCTCTGCCGATCAATCATCATATCTTACCTTCGCTCTTGTCATTTCATCTTCTTAATCGTTATCGCCTCTACGCCAAAGAACCATCGCGCTCGCTGTCTCTTCCATACTGCTATGCCACGATCATGGCTGCGAAGTGCAGAGCTCCAGCGTGAAATTTCTCTGATATTTCTTCTGCGGTCCATGCCTTCAACTTCGACCCCTCAGAGAGTTTTCAGTGCTTCCTTCCTTCAAATGTAACGTCAAAATGCTTCCGAACACCTTCGCTCACCAGCAGAGCTACTATTTAGGTGTACTCAGCACTAGATGTGGACCTAGGGAGATGTAGGGGGTTTCGTGTATCATCTTGGTACGTGTTTGTGGAGAAGGGCGGTCCCCCTTATGCCTCGCATTGGCAAGCACGTCCGGTGCACTCGTACATAAATATCGAGGTCCTGAGTCAACGTTTTCTACGCAACCTCTGACGACAAGCACCTGCTTCTCAACAGCTTCAGTACCGCATGGGGGACCCCGTCAAACTACTCTCGACATCATCTCGGGGAGGGTAGTGCTGCTACTTATTAATGCTGCTGCGTACAATGTCTATTTTTTCTTGTTTTTTTCTTTGAAAGGCGAACCCCCCCTTTGGTGAAGGGAAGTTGGCTTGTGACCACGGAAGGCGTCCGCGTCAGTTGGACTAGTAAGGACATTCGAAGGTACCGAGGGGAGACCGGAACGGTTTTTTATGTGAAGACAACAACAACAACAACAACAACAACAAGACAACAACAACAACACGAGAAGCGAAGAAGTGCACCTTGCTAAGACCCGCGCTCTCAAGCTATGTAGCCACCATGGTAATTTTGAGGACACCAACTTACCGACTAATTAGACGGCCGCCTGTTCACACACAAAAAACGAAGGCGCGATGTACATGGAGGGCGCTATGTACGATCAACATACATTCGCTTATGTCGGAGCAGCTTGGCCTGGTTAAAAGGACCTCAATTCTGGGTGAGCGGAGGGTCCGGAGAGTGATGGCTATGACCTGTTACCGGAGGCTAGATTTCCTTTGGTGAAATGTGGCGACGAATACTTAGCGGGACCGAACGCACTCAAGTTTAACCTACAAGACGAATTGATGCCACGGGGTGACGAGGAGAATTGCGGACAAGCATACTGAGCGACGTATCTGTAACAAAATAAGGTAAGCACACGATCTAAACCTACAAGATTGCTTTGATAGGATACGAATTGGCATTGCGGATTCAGTGGGACATAACTGCTTCGTGTACGCACGACGCATGGCATGCCTGCTACCCGTGTGTGCAAATGGCCGCGTATATACGAGAGCCTGCTGTGAAGGTATCTGTGCAGTCTGCCGAACCAAGCAGTCACTCGAGACTGTTGCGGAGGTCGTAGATGAAGGGTATCACTAAGCTACCCGTCACATACTTGCGGCCCTCAAGCAAAGTCTGGGTGTTTCTGAACGGTTCCAGGACAGGCAATATCATCTAAGAACCGCCCAGTCTGCCGCCGAAAGTAGCGGGTCCAGCTTGTCCGCCGCCTCGTGCATCTTAATAGGTACCTCAAGCTCTATCAGTCGCGCTGCCATGCTGCATGTGGACCACCACCTGGTGACCACGTCCTGGATCACCCGCTTGTTGTCAACACCAAGGTAGGTCTTGACAAACTGCTTGAGCCTGTCGGCCGCCTGGCTCTCGATGTCGTGTATCGCGATACCAAGCCGCGGGCCATGGCCATGACCTTATTGATCCCCGGCCCGTTGAAGACGATGGAGGTGGTGCTTTCAAGCCGGTGGTTGCAGCAGCCAATGTGGGTGCAAACGGTAGCGTCTCCTTCGAGAAGGCGTCCCATCTTCACCATTGAAGGCTCACAGTCAGTTGTAACAGCGGTGACTTTGCCAGTCAGACCATGCTTCGCCACCGCGGCTTTGACACCAGCAGCAAGAGCATCACCTGTCGTCGTTCCTTCCGACTTACTGCAGTCCACCGAAAGAGTGACGAGCTTCCAGGCACTGGTGATAAGGGTGAGCGTCAGCGACATGTA